TATCTCAAAGCCACAAAGGTTTTCTTCTGTATGTTGTATAGTTTCAGGTTTCATATTTTGTTCTATGATCCCCTTAGAGTTAATTTTTCTAATGACGCAAAATGTTAATTCAAGTTCACCTTTTTTTTGTCAAATAGATGCCCTGTTGTTCCGCCATGTGTTGAAAAGACTGAATATTTCCAATGAAAAATTTCCACTGAATTTTCTCCACTGAATTGCCTTTGCACTTTTGTCAAAAATCAGCTGTTCATGTATGTGTGGGTCTAATTCTGGACTCTGTTCTGTTTCATCCATCTATTTGTCTGTCTTGACACCAATACCACATCATTTGACCTGCTTTCATTTTTGCCTTTGTGGCTTGTGTTCAGTCTAGGACGACTTAATCTCCACAAGACCGTTCTGAGTGTTCTGCCCAACGCCCCATGAATTATATGGTGCGAGTTACATGGCTGGTGTGAGGAGGCACTGTTCCCAGCCCTGCGTCAGCTCTGAGTACTGTTTTCAATTCCTTTCGGGTGGTTTTCTCCAGCCTTGGGTAGTTTCTGTATATGAGTGTTCTGATCAGTAACCCAAGTCCTGGAGGGAGGACCTTGCCTGTCTCCAGAGCCCACTCTCCACACTTTCCTGTCCAGTACTCTGTCCTGTGAACTCTACCTGCCTCCATCTCTCAATTCCATCTCCTCAACTCAGGGAGTCTGCTGGGCTTCACCTCAGTTTCCCCTCCTGTGCTGTGGCCTGTGAACTTTCCTGCGAGTAAGTTGGGTGGTCGTAGGGCCTGCCTCTGTTGAGTCCTATGTCTCAGGAATCACTGCACTTTGTTGCCTGATGTCCAGTGTCTTGAAAACCTTTGCTTTATATATTTTGTCCTCTCTTCCTCCCATTGCTTTAGGCTGTAGGCTGGAGGGAAATCTTATCTTTGTTACTCTGTCTTGGCCACATTTTAGAAAATCAACAACAACAGTGTGTGTTCATATGTGTGTGTGCATACAGGGTGTGTTGTGCGTATTTTTTTAAAGTATGCACTGGGAAAAAATTCTAAAAGTATACGTCAAACTGTTAGATGGTGAGATTGCAGGAGACTTCCATTTTATGTTATTTTTTGATGTTTGATGTTTTAATAACAAGTGTGAATTACTTTGTGATCAGAAGCAATTGTAGAAATACATAATATGGGAAAAGAAACTATAAAGGACAAGAAGTCTAGTACCATGAAAAAAAAATCCACATTTAGACCAAAAGGAATGAATAACATTTTGGATGTTTGTAGCTTGTTGCCGAAATGGCCTCTGCAGACATTGTCCTGTTAACATTTCCCTTGACCGTGGGCAAGAAGGCCCATGTCCACACACTGTCACCAGCCACACATCATCAAATGCTTTGCTCCTTGCTGATCTGATTGGTGAAAAGCCATATGGCAGGGTCCTTTTAATTTGGCTGACGTTGAGCTGTGTTTGCATTTCTTTTCACGAGTAAGAGCTGATGCTTGCTTTTTTGCAAATCATCTCTCCTGAAGGGTGTTTGTGTTTTTTTTTTTAATTGATGTAGAGTTGCTTTACAATAGTGTGTTAGTTCCAGGTGTACAGCAGAGGGATTCAGTTATACACACAAGTATATATTTTTAGATTATTTTCTATTATAGGTTATTACAAGGTATTGAATGTAGTTCCCTGTGCTATATAATATATCCTTGTTGCTTATCTAGCTTATGTATAGTAGTGTGTATCTGTTAATCCCAATCTCCTAATTTATCCCTTCCCCCCTTTCCCCTCTGGTAACCATGTTTGTTTTCTGTGTCTGTCTGTTTGTTTTATACAGATTCATTCGTATTATTTTTTAGATTCCATATATAAGTGATTTCATATAATATTTGTCTTTCTCTGTCTTACTTCACTAAATATGATGTTCTCTAGGTCCATCCATGTTGCCACATCTCCTGAAGGGTTTTAATCCCTGAAAGGGAGGCCGCCCCCTTTTAACTGCCCCTTAACTCTGGGATTTTGCTGGCATGCTCCCTCCAGCTCTCATATTTATTCCAGAAGACTTCCAACTGTATTCGCAACCGAGACTCTGCTGCCTCCCATCTCTGCAGGCTCAGGCCAGTGTATGTCCCCAGCTGTCTCAGACCCCATGCACTCCAAACCAAACCCACCATCAGCCTTCCTTTCCTCCTCCTACTGAGAAGTCACCCCCACCCATGCCACGGGGCCTTCATGCCCCATGCCTCCATCTGCCCTAACATTTGGGCGTCACGCCACACCCCAGGGTCACTAAGCCAGGATCACTCTCAAGTATTTCTCAAATCCTTTGCTCTGGCATGGGAAAGCATAAAAACACAGCAAAACAGTGACTGACCAGGGCCCGTGGCTCTGTGGTCATAGGCTTCAATCTCAGCTCTGCCTCTAGTATGCTGTGTGACCTTGAGTAAATGACTTAATTCTCAGAGCTTGTTTCCTTGTCTGTAAAATGGGTATAATCTCAAACATAACTACATGGTCGTGGGGACCACACGGAATGATCTGTGTCGATTGCTCAGCCCCGTACTGGGCACGTTGCAGGTGTGCAGTGCATGTTTACCTGCTACCTTCTGTGTGCCAGGTACTGTAACTAACCAGGCACAGGCCAGGGTCTTGCCCTCCTGGAGCTCACTTTCCACTGCGGGGCAGGGGCTGGTAGTAAACAGATCAAGGGACAAAGACAAGTTGCCACGGGCCATAACGAATGATCACTAGGAAGCAGGCAAGAGGATAGCAAGAGAGATCTTCCTTTCCACCGTAGGATGGAGGATAAATGCTAACTGAGGCCTGAGGATGAGCACGCAAGGAGTATCAAGGAGCCAGCAGGTGCAAAGGCCCAAGGCAGGAAGAGCTCAGCACAGACAAGGGGGTAAAAAGGGAACCGCAGGGCAAGTGTGCCTGAAGAAAAGGAAGGTGCGTCAGTCCGGCGTGGTTGGCAGGATCCAGGCTGGCTCTGTCTGCCCAAGGGCCCTGGAGGGAAGGTCTTGGACCTGATTCTCAGCGTGCTGGGGAGATGCTGGAGGGCTTGGCCTGCCTGAGAAGATCCCTGCCACTGAGTGGACAGCGCCTTGTAGAGGGCAGAGGGTGTAGGCAGGAAATCTGCAGTGCCTGACTCGATGGTTGGCTGTGTTGGTGGAGAGATTTGGTCTGGCTCAAGCTGCTTTGCCCATCCAGTGGCACTCGACAGCCTGGATGATGGGAGGGAAGGGGCGAATCAAAAATGACTGCTAAAAAAAAAAAAATGGCTGCTAAATCTTCATTTTTAAAACACTTTTTAAAATTATGGTAAAATACATATAACACAAAATTTACCATTTTAGCCCTTTTTTACGTGTACAGTTCAGTGGTATTGAGGACATTCATATTGTTGTGCAACCATCACCACCATCCATCTCCAGAGGCCTTTTCATCTTCCCCAACCTGGTCCCCAGTAAACACTCCCTGTTCCCTCCTGCCCCAGCCCCTGGGACCCACCGTCTACTTTCTGTCTCTGTAAATTTGACTCCTCTGGGGACCTCATATGAGTGTCCTTCTGTGTCTGACTATGTTGCTACATCTCTTGGGTGAGCCCTTCTTTCTTTTTTTATCATTTGGGGTGGGGGTGAGGGTTCCAAAATCACAAGTTTCCTGGTAAACAGGCTTGCCATACCCAAGAGGGATACAGGAGGCTTCTGAATAGTCCTCAGCAGAACTCAGCAGGTCTGGGTGGGGGGCATACATTTGGGAGGCATCACTATATAGAAGATACTATATAGAAGTCCAGACTCCCTTGGCGGGGCCATGAAGGCATGGGGGGGTGTCTCAAACTCAAGTGTTGGTGGGGCCAGGTGGGGTTAAATGAGGGGTCTGGAACAGCTGCTGCTCCACTCCTGCTTTTTATCGCCTCATAGGAATAAAGGCTTTGTGTGGTCATATCGTTACACTTTTCGTGACATTTTTGTGTAAGATCTCACAACTTTTAAATGTTGGGAATGAAGCCATTAGGTCCACGATACAGAGTCCGGAACTCAGACTGGAAATAGAAATGAACAGGATACACGTGGGAGGGGATTGGAGACTCCGCTTGTTGACCAGGAAGGGATGGATGTGCAAAGAGGTGAGGTCTGGAGCCAGCCCCACGGGGATACCTGCGCTCCACGACTGGGCAGTGGAGGAGGGGAGTGAGGCCTACAGGCCTGGGGAGGCGGGATGGAGCTGCGCCGGGGCCCGGAAAGACGGGGTAACCTGCACACGCCATAAACGTCAGCTGTATTTGTATCATTTCTAATACAAAATCGATGCTCTGAGAAGCATGACTGGTTGGGGATATTCAGGATGGACCCTGGAGGGGAGGAATCCATTGCAGAAACTCCTCACTCAGGTTTGCGAGAGTCTTTCTGACCCGCCCCCTCCCAGCCCAACTTGTGTGTCTCCTCCGAGCTCCGAAAGGGACATTTCTAGTTCTCTGCTCACCTCCTAGGTTGGCTCTGCCTTCTTAAACCACGTGTGTCGTCAGCGCATTGCTTTGCTCTTAGCTTCTCCATCCGTGCCCTGTCGCTTACCCACCCCGCTTGGGAAGACTTCCACACCCAGCATTAACCGCGTACATTTCTTCTCTCCTCCTCCCCCCCAGACTTGGAAATGAGACCGGAAATGAAAGAATCAGACCTGAAGGAGATTTCGGAAGACAGGCCATCCGGGGCCTGGGGTTCAGCCGTGGACGGAGCGCGGACGCAGGGTGACAGGGTGGAGTCGCGGCGGGGAAGCGCTAGGACCTGCCCGGGGCGGCTGGAAATCTCCCGGGAGTCGGCCCCCGAATGTCGTGAATTGCTGGCGTTCGTTAACCAGAGCCCCACCCCGGCGCCACCCAGGTCGGGGGGTCCGAGGGAAGCAGGGATCCACCCGTTTGCCATGCGGGGCAAGAACCTCGCAGGTAACTCGGACCTTGGTAAACCCTCCAGACCGGACGTGGAGAAGAAATCCTACGACTGCAGCGAGTGTGGCAAGGCTTTTGGCCGCAGCTCGTCGCTGGTGAAACACCAGCGCATCCACACCGGGGAGAAGCCCTTCCAGTGCGACGTGTGTGGTAAGCACTTTCTGGAACGGTCGTCGCTGACCATCCACCAGCGGGTCCACACGGGCGAGAAGCCGTACGCGTGCGGGGACTGCGGCCGCGCCTTCAGCCAGAGCATGAACCTCATCGTGCACCAGCGCACGCACACCGGCGAGAAGCCGTACGCGTGCGGCGTGTGCGGGAAAGCCTTCCGGAAGACCTCCTCCCTCGCCCAGCACGAGCGGGTCCACACGGGCGAGAAGCCGTACGCGTGCGGAGAGTGCGGCAAGGCCTTCCGCCAGAACATGCACCTGATCGTGCACCAGCGCACGCACACGGGCGAGAAGCCGTACGTGTGCGGCGAGTGCGGGCGCGCCTTCAGCCAGAACATGCACCTGACGGAGCACCAGCGCACGCACACGGGCGAGAAGCCGTACGCGTGCGGGGACTGCGGCCGCGCCTTCAATAAGAGCTCGTCGCTGACGCTGCACCGGCGCAACCACACGGGCGAGAAGCCGTACGCGTGCGGCGAGTGCGGCAAGGCCTTCAGCCAGAGCGCCTACCTGATCCAGCACCAGAGGCTGCACATCGGGGTGAAGCCTTTCGAGTGCGGCCAGTGCGGCAAGGCCTTTAGCAAGAACTCCGCGCTGACGCAGCACCAGCGCATCCACACCGGCGAGAAGCCGTACGCTTGCTACATCTGCAAGAAGCACTTCACGGGCCGCTCGTCCCTGGTGGTACACCAGATGGGCCACACGGGCGAGAAGCCCTACGCGTGCGGCGAGTGCGGGAAGGCCTTCAGCCAGAGCGCCTACCTCATCGAGCACCAGCGCATCCACACGGGCGAGAAGCCATATCGGTGCGCGCAGTGCGGCAAGGCCTTCATCAAGAACTCCTCGCTCACGGTTCACCAGAGGATCCACACCGGGGAGAAGCCCTACAGGTGCGGCGAGTGCGGGAAAACCTTCAGCCGGAACACCAACCTCACGCGGCACCTGAGGATCCACACCTAGGGAGCTTGGGGCGCCCCAGTCTACACCAGGTGGGCGGGGTCCTTAGTACGGGCCGTCGGCTCCGGGAGTTCTCAAGTGGGGGCCCACGGTGGCGCAGCCCCGCGGTTCTTAGGAATTGTGGGGGGGTCTTGGTTCCCACGCGCCCCTTCCCGGCCGGGCGTCCACACCACCGAGCCGGAAGGCAAGTTCCTCCGTGCCCAGTGTACTTGGGAACGTTGCAAGGTTGGCTGTGGCTGGTAACTCACGGGAGTTCAGGAACGGAGCGCGTCGGGGTTCCAGACCAAGCGCCCAGTACATTTTAAGCGCTGAGATGGAGTCTCCGGTCGGTCTTCGTTCCGATAGTGAAGTTGGGGAGAGGCGTGCAGGACTTGATAAGAGCGTGGGGACGTTTCTCCCCTTGTCACACACACACCCTCGGTCTAGTCCAGACGTAGGTTGTCTGTGAGTTTCCTCTATGCGGAAGAGCTAGAGGGAGACCCTTCGTCGTCCTTCCATATCCCAGCCCCGCTGCAGTCTCCCTAAACCGTACTGGAAGCCCCCTCCCCCTAGGCTAATAAGCGGTAGAAGTTGGCAAGTTCGTGAGAGGAAAAAAATTTTTTTTCAGAGTTAGCAATAACAGTAACCGGTTTGGCTGCCAAAGTTTCTCATAGTGGTCTGTTAAAATTTTTTTTAATAAAACTTTTCATGAAGGGAGACCAGTGTCATCTTAAACAGTCGTCAGATGAGAAAGATACAGGTACCAGGTGTGCTGTCAAAGTCGGTTTCAGTGCTTGTGGGAGAGGGCAGGGGAGCGAGTAACAACAGGCTTGATATTCAGGTTTAAATACTTAACCGGATTCAATAAGTTGCGCATCTGAGTCTCTTTACATAGTTATTTTTTGCAGTAAACTTGGAGTCTCCTAAGGCTGACCTGAAGCTTTGTGTACACATAGAGTTCCCCCAGTCTCCCCTCTCTGGGACCTTTTCCACCACCTTTTTGTTTTAATGTTCTGTGCTACTGGTCGCAAATGTCATGGCGTGTCTGAATGTCCCACACTTCCTGACGCCGGGGTTCACAAAGAATAATTCATTTTAAGCAACCACTTATATTAGTAAGCACACTTCGTGTTGCAGGTAGGAAAAACAGCCATGTAGAAACATGGACAGTTTTTGAATGTCTGTCAGGGTGCAGGCATCAGGGTGGGCTTGATCCGGATGCACAGCGCGTCAGAACCACCGCTCTGCCTCCCCGTGGTCCACTGGCTCTCCCTTCACGCACTGGCCTCGTCCTCAGGCTGGCTTCCCTTGTGGTTTCATGGTGGTTTCCAGCAGCTCCTCTTGACACACTTCCTCAGTCTCGTCCAGATGGAGACAGACCTCTTCCAGTCATTGACAAAAAAGCCCTAGGCTTCATTCTGGCTGGACTCACCAGGAGCTGATTGTTCTGACCAGAGAAATGCCATGTGCTGATTGGCTTAGATATGGGTCTCGCCCTCATCCTTGAAATAGTAGCCGTGGAAGAGGAATGAATGGGAGTGACTGCCCAGATCGGCCTGAAACCACTGTCCACCCTTGACGTGGGCGTGGGGTCCATTCTGCCCAGGTCACAGTCAGGGAGAAGTGGGATGACACGGAGAAGCCGGCCCCAGCGTCATCGGATGGCTTCTCTGGCTTTTGTTGTGACAGTGAGGTCCTGCTGCGCGTGACATTTTCTTTGGGGAGCCTTCTCATTGCCTTGGTCACCACGAGAGCCCCCGGTCCTGGCTGTCCTCTGTGCTCTCTTGACCACGGGATGGGGGCAGGGCCCAGAGAGACTGAGAGGCTCCGGGTCACATCTGTTTGCACCAGCTTTCGTCGCCATGCCCCCATTCCCGTCGGCAAGAACAGATGTCATGTGACCAGGTTTCCTGCTTGGGGTGGGGGTGGCAGGGGTGGCCGGGTGAGTGACTGTGACGCACAGGGCAAGTGTGAGCCTTGGATGGATCGAAGGTGAGCCCCAGCTGTGAGCGAGTGAGTTCCTTCTAACCCTCTGTGCTTCGGTTCCCTCTGCTTTAAAAAGGGGGTTGTGGGCATCTCCGAAGTCGATTGATAGGATAGTCGGGGGCAGGCTAAGCTGCAGGTCCTGGCAACACAGAGCCCCCAGCCTCTCTGCCTCTCTCCTGCTCCCTCACTTCTCTCTCAGTCTCAGACCAAAAAATCCACCGAGTCACACTCCTTGTGGTCACTTAGGACCTACATCCCATCCACCCCTGAGGACACAGGGCTGGTCAGAGCTGGCTGCCAGCTACCATGAGCGTTCCAGCGGCAGGTCAGGGGAGGCAGCCTGGAGGAGGTAAGTCTGACCAACACCTTAGCACCGGACCGGAAGTGGCCCAGTGTCTCCCACTGTCTACCACGCCTTTGACAGCTGCCTCCCCTCAGACCTACATGGAGGCTGGGAGGTGTCGTCCAGGGGTGTTTCCAGGACGAAGTGGAGACAACCATCCCTCAGGCTGCACCCTGAGGACCTGTCCAGGCAGATCGTGCAGTCAGGTGGCATGAGACATGGTCTTTCAATAAAACGAGCACATGGATCTTGGCAACCTTCTAGGCCCCCCAGTAGGAGCTAAGAGTCAGGGTCTCTGACGGTTTGGCCTAGCAGCCATGTTGCCACCCTCCTCCTGTGCTTCCCTCCCATCATCTCCTACTCATGAGATGGGACACTCAGCCTCTCCCTGCTAGACCTTTCCACACCTGGCCCAGTCCTCTCATCAAATGGGAAAGGACGGGGAGGAGGGGTGTGGGAGCACCCTCTTCTCTCAGCGCCACCCGGTCCCTGGTAGGTCAGGATGGGATGCAGGTAACTGAGACCTTGGACAGAGACAAGTCCTGGGGAGTTATCAGAGGCCCGTGGTCACCGTCCAGTATTATTCACTGAGGGCCTGGACACAGATCCAGAAGCTGGTGATGGCCAGGAATCTCCTGAAAGTTTTGGAATTTCAGGAGAGGTGCAAACCATCCTCTCTCAAATCACAGATTTATGACCCCCCCGACATACTGGATGGGATTCTTGTGAACATAAAGTGTTTTGAGTCAAGCAGGCTTATTGTCTAATGTATGCCTCATCCACAGCCTTAATAATATCTTATTATTTTGCTATTGATAGTAGTGCTCTATTGTTATTATCATTAACAGTAAATAATAAATACAGTGCTCTATTATCAACAGTCAAATAAAATATTAATAAGTACTATCTAGAATGCTAATATTATCCTGGTCTTTCAGCTGAGGAAACTGAGGCTCAGAGTACTAATGCTTTGCTCAAGATCTTGGAGCTGAAAGCTTTTATGTGCAATGTTTCCATTTCCTAAACAGCACCAAATTCCCATATTTAAGAAATGCTACTTGGGCCAGGCCCAAGCAGGCCACACCAGTGACATCTGGGGCAAGAAACAGATTGGACCCCTGGTCTGCAGCCCCTGCAGAGTGGAGGAATGATCAAGTGGGCTCTGGGGTCAGGGGATCCTGGGCTCAACCACTGGTACTGCCACTCACCCAGTGGTCACCCTGAGCTTGCTCGGTGCCTCCTTGTCTGTTCAATGGAGGTGATGCCTGACCTCCCACACAGGGTGGAGGTGATGGTGAGGTCACAGAGCTGGGTCAGCATGGACGAAATGCAGCAACAAACCCCAAAGACATGGGGCCGATCATAGGGTCTCCACAGGGTGACTCAGGGGTCCAAACTCCCTCTACCACCTTCAGCTCACCGCTTCTGGAAACACCCTGGGGTCGGCATCCAGGGGGCGGCTGGGGGAAGGGCAGGTGGCAAAGGCCCAGGCTTTTCTGGACACATCCCTCTCCTCACCTTCCACAGGGGGGAGTGGTCCATGCCCCTTCCTGGATGCAAGTGGGAAATGTGGTCTCTGGCAGGACACCTGCGTCCCAAGACTAACTCTGCACCAGGAAGGAAGGAAAGTGAGGAGTGTGGGGGGTTGCTGTCTCCCCCTGCCACCCAAAATGCCAGTTGCATGCTCATGCTTTCCAGTAACATGTAGACAGCAGCTACAGTTGCAAAAGGCTTTCTAGCCATTTAAGGATGTTATAGATTGCATGTGTTCTCCCCAAATTCATATGTTGAAATCCTAACACCCAGTAACTTCAAAATGTGACTGCATTTGGAGATAGGGCCTTTAAAGGGATAATTAGGGTTCTGTGAGGTCATATGAGTGGGCCCTAATCCAATGACTGGTGTCCTAAGAAGAGAGAGAGAGATGCCAGGCCGCACACGGGCAGAGGGACTGCCACGTGAAGAGGCCACAGGAGGGCCGCCATCTGCAAGCCAAGGAGAGAGGGCTTAGGAGAAATCAACCCTGCTCACACCCTGATCCCGGACGGTGAGAAAATAGGTTTCTGCCATTCAAGCCCACTGCACTGTCTGTGGTCTTTTGCAATGGCAGCCGGAGCAAAAGAATACAGTGAGTGAGCTACAACAAGCTCCCGCTGGACAAAGCTTTCTGGCAGAGACGCCAGATCCTGCAGTGAATAAGCAGCTATTCAACAGAGAATCACGTTTATTCCCGGTAAAGTGCCAGGTACGCAGGTGATGTTCAGCACCAAGGACAGCAGCTGGTCTGAGCCACATTAAGGGATTCCCTGGTGGCTCAGTGGTTAAGAATCCGCCTGCCAATGCAGGGGACACAGGTTCGAGCCCTGGTCCGGGAAGATCCCACATGCCGTAGAGCAACTAAGCCCATGTGCCACAACTACTGAGCCTGCACTCTAGAGCCCGCGAACCACAACAATTGAGCACACGTGCCACAACTACTGAAGCCTGCACGCCTAGAGCCTGTGCTCCGCAACAAGAAAAGCCACCACAATAAGCCCGTGCACCACAACGAAGAGTAGCCACCCCTCGCTGCAACTAGAGAGAGCCCACGTGCAGCAACAAAGACCCAATGCAGCCAAAAATTAAAAAAAAAAAAAAAAAAATATATATATATATATATATTTTTTTTTTAAAAGGCCTAGAGGGAAATGAAAGAACGGAGCTGGCCAGTCTCCTCCACTTAGTCCTAGGAGCCCACCTGAGGGAACCTCCAAGAGGGACCATGAGACCAAACGGGTTTTGCCAGCCTGTGCTGAGGAAGGGTGTGGAATTCCACAAATAACTGTTGGGTGATGGCAGGGGTTGGCCAGCCTTTCCTGCAAAAGGCCAGAGACTGTGTATTCTTTGCAAGCCACAAACGCTCTCTTTGTGTCATATTCTTTTCGCTTTATTTTACAACCCTTCACTTTATTTTACAGTGTGAAAGCCATTTTTACCTCGGGGGCCAGGGGCTGCGGTTTGCCAACCCCTGCCTAATCCAATCTCTCCCCTGGGAACGGGGATAATTTTTGGAGCCTGGTGCAAAACGAAAATATGGGGCCCTCTGTCCAGAGATTATTAAGCATTTCAAAATGGTGACTGCAGAGCGTGAGACCGAGCGTGGGTCAGGTCCTGTGTGGTTGCACAGGTCGCACACTGCTGAAGTAGGGCGGCTGTCGCCTGTCCTGAGGGAATTCTCAGGAATGTGTCACAAGCCTCAAGGGCGTCTCTTGATGTCCCTAAGTTAATTCTAAAGTGATGACGAGAGGAGGCTGAAACTTGGCCGCCATCTCAGGCCTGACCTGTGACAGGTTATCTGGGAGGGTGGGCAGAAGGCTGGGCTCCCTGGCGGCCACCCCCGCAGCAGCGTGGGTCTTATGGTGGCAGGTGAGGTTCCCGATGCGCCTGAAGGCCTTGCCGCACATCTTGCACTCATAGGGCCACCCCCCCGTGGGGATATTCCGGTGCGCCGTCAGCGTGTGCTGGTGCTGGAAGTCTTTCCCACACTGCCCGCACTGGTAGGGCTTCTCCCCTTTGTGGATTCGGCCGTGCTGGACCAGGGTGGACTTCCGCACGAAGGCCTTGCTGCACACGCCACACTGGAAGGGCCTCTCGTCACTGTGGATGGCCTGATGCTGGAGCAGGAAGGACACCTTCCGGAAGCTTCTCCCTCATTCGCCGCAGCGGTAAGGGCTTCTCGCCCGTGTGGATCTGCAGGTGAATGGAGAGGTGCGCCTTCTGGCTGAAGGTCTTGCCGCACTCCGTGCACTCAAAGGGGATCTCTCCGGTACGGGTCCGCCGGTGCACGGTGAGGTAGCCCTTCTGGCTGTAGGATCTCCCGCAGGCTTTGCAATGGAAAGGCTTCTCGCCCGTGTGGCTGCGCCGGTACACCACGAGCTGCACCTTCTGGCTGAAGGCCTTGCCGTACTCGTAGCACTTGAACGGCCGCTCGCCCGTGTGCGTGCGGTGGTGGTTGACCCGCTCGGATTTCTTGCGGAAGGCCTTCCCGCACACCCTGCACGGGTGGGGCCTCTCGCCTCTGGGGGCCCACTGGTGCCCGAGGAGGGAGGAGCGTTTGGTGAAGCGCTTACCGCGCAGGTCACACACGAAGGGCTTCTCCCTGGTGTGGATGCGCTGGTGGTCCACCAGGTTGGTGATGAGGGTGAAGGCATTGCCGCACTCGCCGCACTTGTAGGGCCGCTCGCCGGTGTGTGTGCGCCGGTGCCCGAGCAGCTGCGTGTTCTGCACGAAGGCGCGGCCGCACTCGACACACCGGTAGGGCCGCTCGCCCATGTGGATGCGCCGGTGCACCGTGAGGTTGGCAAGCTGGCAGAAGGCCTTGCCGCCCTCGGCGCACGTGAACGGCTTCTCGCCGGTGTGGACGCGCCGGTGCACCGTGAGCGTGGCTTTCCTGCGGGAGTGTCTCCCACACTTGCCGCACGCAAAGGGTTTGTCCAGGGCGTGCGCGCGCTGGTACTGTGCCCGCTCGGTGCAGTGCGCAGAGGTCTCCCCGCACTCCTGGCACACAGGGCTTCTCAGTGACGGCAGGGGCTCTCCCAGTTGGGATTCCGCTGGTCCCCTCACTCCTGGAATTCCTGGCTGGGGGTCTCCTGGCTGATGCTCTGAAGGGGCTCTTCCTGAAGCTGTCCCAGCCCCTCCTGATGCACAGCCCCAGGGGCAGCCCCCTCCCAGCTCTTCCAGGTCCAGCTCAGGGGATACTCCTGCGGGGACAGCTTCCACTGGGCCATTCCTCTCCAGTCTCCATTTCTGAAAGAGACGGAAAACACGAATGTCACCCATGTCACCTACTCCCAGAGCTGGAAGGGGTGAGGGCTGGGGGCTGGGAAAGCAAAGAGAAGCCTCCTCAAGTACTTGCCAAGGGCTCTAGAATGAGGTCTAGTGTGTGTGTGCAATGGACAGAATATATGTGCCCCCCGCCGCAAATTCATATGTGGAAATCCTAATCCCCAGGTGATGGCATTAGGTGGTTGGGAGGTGATTAGGTCATAAAGGCAGAGTACTCACAAATGGGATTGGTGAGATCTCTCTCACTCCTTCCTCCTTGTGAGGACACAGCGAGAAGGGGCCACCTATGAACTAGGAATAGGGCCCTCCCCAGAACCCCCAGTTTTACCCAGGGAGCTCAAGTTCTGAAAGTTCTCAAGCATCATATCCTTGTACAGGTCCCTCTGAGCTGGCTCCAGCTGCTGCCGCTCCTCCTGTGTGAAATTCACGGCCACATCTTTGAATGTCACCAACTCCTGTGACAGCAAAGATGTCTGGTTCAACCAGGCCGGCAGGGCTGGAGGAGCCAGGGAGGTGGGGCGAGGCCCTGGCCTCAGTGGGTCCTCCCAGGGAATATCCCCCTCCCCCAGCACAGAATGGCAGTGGCACACAGTAGGTGCTCGAGAAACGTCAGCTGTCATTAGGGTGACATCATTATTACAGGGCTGGGACTGGATTTGGTTTGGGGCTTCAGGGCTGTGTGGCGGTCCCCAAGGCCATCCCAAAGTTTGATGATTCTCTATGAGGACTTGTGGGACTCGGCATAAAGTTGTATTCGTGGCCACCCTGCCCCAGGTGACAGGGCACAGGCCCCGGAGCGGGGCTCCAGCAGGGCCTCATTTGACTCTGGCTGCCCAACCTGAGCCACCCACAAGAAGGAGGGCAAGAGGCTGACACTACTCACCAGAGCCTTGTCAGCCGGCAGCTGGGCAGCCATCCCTCCACTGCCCACAGTGACCAGGGGATGGGTGGTGGGGTCTGGGGGCTGATGGAACTGTGGGTCAGGGAGAGAAAGGGGGGGGCAGTGAGAGACCAGGCCTAGCCCTGCCCCCTGGATTCACACACACACACATACACACACACACAGCTCTTCTCATCCAGAGAAACACACAGAGACACAGCACACTCCCCCCATGGGCTCACGCTACCCAGACACTGCCACGGTGTGGTGCCTGGGTAAGTGGGGAGTGGGGATGTCTCTCCCAGGTGGGATAAGACCCAGGGCCACTCTGCCTAGACACCCCCATCAGGACCTGGACCTGAGATCCACCCTTAGGGCCAAGCGGCTGAGCCCCCACCATGGCCCCAGGCCCCAGCTTACACTTGGGGTCCGGCTCTGCTACCAGATGAAAAAGCCCCCAGGAACAAAGGCCCAGGGACAGAGAAATCAGTCCCCAGCTGCAGAGTGTTCATCACGCCCTTGACTGCTCCGTACTGCATCAGCTTCCTCTGGCCACCATCCCTGACCCAGCTCATGGGGCTCTGGAGAGAACCAGGGCCTCTCACCTAGGCGCTGACCCAGGCCTTGCCCGCCACTCTCCTTTGACACTTGTTGCCTGGGCTGGTGAACCGTGAGGCTGCAGGAGCCAGATACCTGGGTTTCAGTTCTGGCTCTGCCACTTACCTGCTGTGTAGCTTTGGGCAGGTTACTCAACCTCTCTGTGCCTCAGTTTCCTTATCTAGAAAATGGGCATAAGGTACCCATCTCATGGGGTCATTATGACGTTTCAACAAGTTAGTGTAAGTAGCTCGCTATGAACAGTGCTTGCCATGTGGTAAAGGATATATGTTTTATTGTTGTTGTTATTTTATTATCGCCATCTATATACTCAACATTTTCCCTACTAAACTGGGCTTCTCTTTATTATCTTTTATTCCAGTACCCTGCAAAGGATTTGGCCCACAACTAGCTGCCCCCCACCCCTCCTTTTTTATTATGCTCAAATACACATAAAATTTAACATTTTACCCATTTTAAATTGTACAATTCAGTGGTATTTAACACATTCATAATGTTGTGTAACCATTACCACTATCTAGTTCCAAAACATTTTCATCACCCCCAAAGGGAGACCTCACACTCATGAAGCAGTCCCTCCCCATTCCCTCCTCACTGCAGGCCCTGACAACCACAAATCTGCTGTTTCCATGGATTTGCCTGTTCTGGACATTTCATACACATGGAATCCTACACTATGTGGCCCTTTGTGTCTGGCTTGTTTCACTGAGCTGGGTGTATTTGAGGTTCACCCATGTGGTAGCACGTATCAGGGCCTCATTCCTTTTCATGGCTGAAAAATATTCCATTGTGTGAACATACCACGTTTTGTTATCCATTCCTCTGCTAATGGACATTAGGGTTGTTCTCACATTTTGGCTGTCGTAATTCTGCCATGAGTATGCATGGTCAGGGGCAAACATACCTTGGAGATATTGTGAGTTAGGTTCCCAACCACCACAATAAGGCAAATATCGCAATAAGGAGAGTCACACAAATTTTTTGGTTTCCCAGGGCATATAAAGTTATGTCTATATTATACTGTAATCTGTTAAGTGTGCAGTAGCATGATGTCTAAAAAAAAGTACGTATCTTAATTTAAAAATCCTTTATTGCTAAATAATGCTGACCATCATCTGAGCCTCAGTGACTGGTAGTTTTTTTGCAACAGTAACATCAAAGATCACAGATCACAGATGACCGTAACAAATAATTTTTAAAAGTTTGAAGTATTTCCAGAATTGCCAAAATGTGACACAGAGAAAAGAAGTCAGCAAATGCTGTTGGAAAAATGGCACCAATAGACTTGATCAATGCAGGGTTGCCATAAGCCTTCAATTTTAAAAAAACGCAGTATCTGCAAAACACAATAAAACAAGATATATCTATATTTGAGTACATAAGGTGCACATTCTAAATACCGTATCTATGTGCATATGAGATGTAACCACACACTAAATACCATATGTACATGTATATAAGATATATAGAAACTGATATACATGACATGTGTATAAGATATATGCACAAAATATCACATATACATGTATATGTGGTTCAACCACATACCAAATGCCACATATATATGTATATATGTGATCTTATATCTGTGTGCTATGGTACTAAATACCATTTATACCTGTATAAATGTGTAATGTGTAATCATGCACACTAAATACTACATAGGCACGTGTGTAAGATATATGTAAACTGATTATATATATGCTACAGTTCTGAATACCATATACATGGGCATATAAACTACTTACACAGAACAAATACCATATATACATATATATATAAGGTAAATAAACTCTAAATACCATATTCCCTTCTAAATAAGGTGTATATATAAAGATATACTAAATGCTGTACATACATGTATATAATAAGGTCTATTAATACATGCTCACATGAAATGCCATAATTACATTAATACACATAACTGCACCAAATACCGTATATATGTATATACATGTACTCTAGTAAAAACTGTATTTCATTTACTCCAAGAGACCATAGGTTGAAAGAAAACATGATTTTATCTCACTAAGGAAAAAAAAGAATCTGCCAAATAAACCACAACATACCGTCAGTGGTAAGACACATCCTAATTTCGGAGATATTAAACTATGAAAAAAAATGGATCTTCAAATTAAGGAGTAAAGTTGAATCACTATATGTTCGGACTGAAACGACTCAGGAACAGAAGCTCTAACATTCTCTGGCTGCATCCCACTGCATGACCTGGCAGACGCCCCACCCTGGAGAGCACTGTTCTGACAGAGACCAGACTGGATCCAGACTGCCTGGGTTCCAATCTCGGCCCTGCCACATCCTAGTTGTGTGTTCCTGGGCAGGTCACTTAACCTCTGTTTCCTCCTTTGTGAGGGACATAATACCCCTACTTTATAGGGTTGTGAGAATTAAGTGAGTCAATACAGATAAAGACCCCTAGAATGGTGCCGGACACGGAGCTTCCTAAGTGTGGTTATTAAGTCGCACTTAATAACCCCCCTGGTGGTGATGGTGTGGGGGGTTGGGGGTGGGGAGTCTTTTCTTTTCGGTGCCTCAGTTATGGGGAAGTCACAGTGCGTACCGGATCAGGCTACTGCAAGGGTTTAACGAGCTGAAAGGGCGTCTCTCTCACTTCATCAGCATCAGCATCACCGGGAGAGCTTAGGAGGCCACGGCCCCGGGGGACACACCCAGGGAATTTGGGTCGGTCTTCCCGGGAGAGGGGTCCCGAGGATCTGCATCTCTGACGACCTCCGGGAGGGCGACGCTGGCACTGCTGGAGCGGGGCACCCTCTGCGGGGCGCGGAGTGAGTATTCAGCTAAGCACTCAGCTTAGCTGACTAAGCACTGAGCACTCAGCTCAACGCCCGGTACTGAGGAAATCAACGCTTTGTGACTGCCAGCGGCGGCGGGGCCGTTACTATTACCTAAACAGTAGCGAGAACGGAGCAGATCCGGCGGATGGAGCCCCGCGGAGCACCTCGGCTACAGGTGCGATCCTCGCACCCACTGTCCAGGCGGGGAAACTGAGGCACGCAGGGGCGGGGCAGGGATTCAGAGCCCCCTCCGGGGTCCCACTCGCGATCCAGGGTGCATGGTCCTCCCCCTCGACGAAAACCCGGCGGACCAGTGAACCCGGCGGGGCGGGCTGCGCGGACTCACCGGCGGCCACGTGGCCGCTGTGGGTCTCTGACCGCGATATGGCCGGCGAGACGCGGCCTGCGCCTGCGCGGCTCCGCTGCTCCCACCCCGCCCCCGCGCCGCGCGAGGCCACACCCACCCCGCGCTCCCAGACGCCTCCGCGCGCCGACCGGGGTGGGCGGGGACTGAGAGGTGGGAGAAAAAGAGGGATTAGTGGGGTGGAGGGGAGGGGGGAGATGGAGAGAGTGGGAGGGGAGGGGGAAAGGAAGGAGGGAGGAGGAACTAGGGGAGGGTGGAGGGTGGCGGGGGAGATGGAGAGGGGCGGGGAGGGGAGGGGTTCTACTGGGAGAAGGGGAGGAGGATCTGGATGGAGAAACGGGGAGGAGGGAAGACCAGAAGAGGGGCAGGAGGGGAGGGGCTTGAGAGAAGAGGGAGGGGAGGGGGAAGGAGAGCGCGTAGGGGAGGAAGATGCAGGAATGAAGACGGGAAGAAAGGAATTTCTTCAACGATACTGAAAAAAACAACAAGAATTGATTAGGACTGGTTGGGAGACAGGTCTGCCCGGTTCAAATCCCAGCTCTGTGTCTTTGGACCCGTGTCCTAATGTTCTAAGCCTCGGTTTCCTCGTCTGTAAAGAGGTTGCAGTCACGAAACCTGCACTATAGATGGGGTTGTTGTGTGGATGACGTGAGTTAATTAGCATAAAGTCCTTTCAAAAGGAACTGGGGCCCGCAAAACAGCGCTGTCCTACCCAACTTTATGCACAGATGTAGAGGTTCTGTGTCCGCGATGTTCAGTATGGTGGCCACTGACCACGTGTGGCTCTTGAGCACTTGGCATGTGGCTAGTGTGGCCACGGAACTGAATTCTTAGTTGTACTTAATTTGATAAATTAAAGTTTTCATAGTTGCTATGGCTACTGGCTGCTGTGTTGGACGTTGTAGTTCTAAAGCCTTAGCTGTTTTCGTGACATATACTAAGCTTCTCTTGTGTTTTATAACAGTTTGATGGGGCCTCTTAAAATGCCCACAGCAACCACAATAGCAACAGCACTTTGGGAGTCCTTTTTAAGTGCCAGGGATTGTCCTAAGGACTTGACGTGGATTAACCATTTGAATCTTCTCATAGTCATGAGACGTTGCCTCTCACTGGGTATAAAAAGTCTTACTACTGTTATCATTTGAGTGTGTACTCTGCCCTCCGCCCCCCCCACCCCGAAATTCTTGACAAACATATCATGTCATTTAACTGCAGGAGGAGAGGCTTAGGTATAATATATTTGGGAAAGGCCACAGGACAGGGTCAGCAAGATGGGAGTAGCATGTGGTTGCGTTTTGTCTTTATTTGGATCTGCGCTAGAAAATCCTGAAGCTTGCAGAGATGGAGGAGGCAGAGCAGAATCTGCCTGCCCTGAAGCTGTGACAACCATCTCAGGGCATGTGTGTGGTCCTAGCACTGGGGCCCTCACGCTACCTCTTCCCATAAGCTTTAAAAAATTTTTTTTTTTTGCTCCTCTTTCCCCCCATTTCCTTTTTCCATTAAAAATTTTCTCTGTGAATCCCCTGGCAGTCCAGTGGTTAGGATTCTGTGCTTCCATTGCCAGGGTCCTGGGTTCGATCCCTGGTCAGGGAACTAAAACCAGGAACTAAGATCCCACAAGCCAGGTGGTGCAGCCAAAAAACAAACATACAAATAAATAAATATATTCTCATTTTCGATATTAAAAATGGCCATGATTTTTTGCAGCTTCTGCTCTCAGGAGCTGGACTCTGTTTTCCCATTCCCTGAACATGTGCTGTCTTTGTGGATTGCTTTGACCAGTACGATATGGCAGAAGTGATGCTGTAGGATTTTGGAGGTTAGACCTTCTGATTCTGACACCAGTTCCAATGTGTGTGTGTTTTGCCCAAAACCACCAGGCAGTTCTCTGACACCAGCTGGGAGTTGGAGACATTATCTACCTGGAGACAGCATCAGTTAGCGATACCAATACACCTTCCCAGAGTGATTTCCATACTGGCACTCCCCCTGCCAATGTATAAGAATGTCTCTCTTAATTACTGCCTGGCCCATTATGTGGGGTGGCTGGGCTGTGTGTTCCCTAGTTTTTGGATCTTAACTACATGGAAGAAAGCCAAGGTTGGGGGTGAGCTGGTAGAGACTGCTCACTGTCCCGCAAAACTTGTCTCTACTTCTATTGTGCCAGAACCCCTAAGTTTTAGCTGCATTTCCCAGTCTCGCTTGTAGCTGGATGTGGCCAGGTAACTAGGTTCTGACCAACGAGGTGCAAATGACAGCATCAGGTTATAGCTTCCGGGGTGGACTGCTGCATTCAGATTCTGGCTTTGTTGTTCCCCTGTTAAGGAATGTTGGGAAAGTGACTTAATTTCTCTGCACCTCAGTTTCCTCATCTGTACAATGGGGATAAGGATAGTATCTACCTTATAGTGTTGTAATGAAGAGCAAATGAAGTAATACAGTGAAGCAATTAGAACAGTTCTTGGCACAAAAGGGTTCTATTATGTGTCATAATTATCATTATGATAATCTTATTATCACTTCCTAAGGTTGATGTGAGGTTCAAGTGCAACCATGCTCCATGCCTATTATCAGAACAAATTTCCCTGGGGTTTATTGGTCTCCCACGACCAGGGAGAAATATTAGGAGGGAATTAAATCCATCCATCTCCCCACCCACTCACCTCCACCGGCATCATCACCCTAGGAGGCTCCATAGATTTTCCATTTCCTTCATCATAGATACTCATTTACCCAACCAATATTCTCCAATGCATGAAAATTCATAGAGGGAATTTTCCTTTTGCCGAAGTTTCTTTAAAGAGCTGCCTACAGGGAATGTAGGTGTTTATTTATGTGACCACCTGCTTTACAGAGAGAGGCAGGTGTGAAGTTGCCATTTTTCACTGCTGAATTCAATGTATCACAGGGAGGTTGGTGTGAGCAGAAGTGTGTGGAAAGGGGGAGGAGGGAATTAGGTCAAGGAGCCTGAGGTTTTTTTCCTTTCTTTCATCCTTAGTGGTGGAGGAGAGGCGGTTTTAACTCTGAATATGTAGAATCTCTGCATCTTCTGATAATCAGGCATCTCAAGAGACAAGAGGCTTCAGGGTGAGTGGACAGTCATTCATTCAGCGAATATCTGAGCAGCTCCCCTGTGCCAGGCACTGTTCTAGGGGCTGGGAATCCACAGTGAGCAAGCCAAAGCCCTTTGTCATATGGAGCCACGAGCACTAAATTCTGAGCGTGATCAGAGGCAATTAGGTGGAGGGTGAAGGGGAAGGCTACATCAGCCTGGGTAGTCGGGGAGGCCTCTCTAAGGAGGGGGTATCTGAGCAGAGCCCCAGTTAGCAAAGACCGCTGTATGCATATCTGGAGGAAGGATAGCCTCCTCTCACCCCAAGGTTCACTGGAACCTTGCTCAGAAGACAGGAAAAATAGGCAGCACCCAAGAATCTGTCCTTAGAAAGTTGGCTAAGTAGCTTAGGATACGTCTGGGTAAGAAATGGTGAGGAAGACTTGAATATACTGATATGGAAGGAGCTCTGGTTACAGTATTAAATGAGAAAATAAATGAACAATTGACCACAGTGTATCTTGTGTATTCTCATTTATGTTTTTAAAAAGTACATATATACACTATATACATAGTGCATATATATACTGTGCATATATAACTATGTAACTATATATAAGTATATATACTTATGTCTATATAACTATACGGCCTTATATACATATAGAGAGAGAGAGAGACAGAGAGAGACATATCGATGGAAGAAACGCTACTACTTATGTACAGGCTGTTAATCTATTGAGATGCTTCTCTGAAAGTTGGTAAATAGCTGCTGACTGAAGGCCTCTGACCCTGCTGCCTTGTCCTGTCCTACGTATCACCCAAAGGGTGCCAGCTGTTGGTGATTAAAATGCTCAGACTGACTCCTACTTCTTTACAGGTTGCTAATTTATTGAAACGCCTCGGTGAGAGAGACAGGGCAGAGTGTACTTACTGTACCTCACCTGAAACTGGGACCCTCCTGTTGCCCTTCAAAAAGTAACGATGAAATCCTACAAGCCTATGGGACAGTATAGAGAATAAGACAACTGACCTCCCATGTATTTTTTTATTGACATATAGTTGATTTACAGTGTTTTGTTAGCTTCTGCTGTACGGCAAAGTGATTCAGATATACATATGTATGCATTCTTTTTATGTTCTTTTCCATTATGGTATAGCCCAGGATATTGAATATAGTTCCCTGTGTTTACAGGAGGACCTTGTTGTCTATCCATTCTCTATATAATAGTTTGCATCTGCGGATCCCAAACCCCCACTCCATCCCTCCCCCATTACCTCCCATGTATCTGCCACTCAGAACTATTTGATTTTTCTTAAGTATGTGGGTACATGACTTTGATTTCAGAAAGTTTTTTTTTTAAGTAATTTAATATTTTATTTATTCATTTATTTTTGGCTGCATTGGGTCTTCGTTGCTGTGCGTCGGCTTTTCCCTAGTTGCAGCGAGCGGGGGCTACTCTTCGTTGCGGTGCGCGGGCTTCTCATTGCCGTGGCTTCTCTTGTGGAGCATGGGCTCTAGGCGCACGGGCTTCAGTAGCTGTGGCACGCGGGCTCAGTAGTTGTGGTTCATGTTCTCTAGAGTGCAGGCTCGGTAGTTGTGGCGCACGGGCTTAGTTGCTCCGCGACAAGTGGGATCTTCCCGGACCAGGGCTCGAACCCGTGTCCCCTGCATTGACAGGCGGATTCTTAACCACTGTACCACCAGGGAAGTCCCAGAAAGAAGTTTTAAATCACTGTACATCTCATGTCAACATTGTATCCCAATTCTTTATTCATTTTATCCTAATGTTTTTAAAACATACATATTTTCCCACCTTATGCCTTTATTATTTATTTAAGAGCTTATTTGATACAACACTCAAAAGGGACAGAGAATATAAGACAAAAAAAACACGTTCTCCTCATCTTCCAACACCGGATTCTCTTCTGGTAACCATAATTATCAGTTTCTTTAGAAACCTTCAAGAGATGCTGTACACACACATGCACACACACAGCCCTCATCTTATCCTATCAGGCCCAACAAACCAGGGAATCAAAGGGTAGGACTCTCTTTCCCATCGCTGGTGGTCTGGATCTTTGGGAGGAGGATGTGGGT